ATTAGGAAGAGAGATGAGGGAGAGAGAAGGAGACCAGAGAGAGAAGTAAATACGTACCTGAGAAGATTCAAATGAAAAAAAAAAAAAAGAGGGAAAGTAAAAATTTAAGTCTAAGTTGTGGAGGTACAATGATAGTCATTTGACTTGTTTAATCATGTCATCAGATGGTTAAAAACATAGGTTTTGGAGATGTTAGATATATATCAAAATGGGCATGTATGAAGGGTTTTTAGGTTGAATAGCCCCTTTTACCAAGACAATATTATTTTTACCTATTTTTTTTAAAATTATGTTTTCTAATCTTGGCTGACATCACATGGATATCAAATTAAGTTCACTGCCCTGGTCTGTCTCTTATCTCTTCTGTTTGTTTTTCACTTTGATAATTATTTCTCTTTCTCATTTCTCATCTTCTACCTGAGATCCCTTCCCATTTTTCAGAGATCTTTCTCCATTTTGGTAAGTTGAAAATTCTACCATATCTCTTCTTCTATCTCCTTCTCCTTCTCATATTTGAAAATTTTTTCAATCAATTTATTCCTCAAATCACGGCACATAAAGAACAGAGAAAATATAAAATAAAAAAGTCAGGGTGAAATGAATCTTTTTCTCTCTCCATCTAGGCCATAACGTTCTCCATTAGATCCTAGGTCCTCTCAATCTCGCTCTTGCTCACAACCTCGCTCAAAATCTCGCTCTTGATCTCGATCTTGCTCAAAATCTCGCTCTCGTTTTCAATCCAGTCGATCTCAGTCAAATCATCTCAGTCACGATCTCGTTTTCGATCAAATCCGACTGGTGTGCGGAAGTGAGAAAGCTGTTGCATTTTAGAGAGAGACATGTTTGAGGAAGAGGAAGAGAAAAAATCACTGGATTTTTGTGTCGGTTTCGGGTACAGGTACCCTTTTGTGAGGAAGGGAGAGTGAAAGAGGCACTTGAGAGTGTGAAAGAAGAGAGAGAAAGATTGGGTGTGTTGAGTGAGAAGGGTGTGAGGAAGAGAGAGCGAGGAGGGAGGGGAGAGATATAGATGTAGGCGTGGAGTGAGGGGGTGTGAGGAAGAGAGAGAAACCCTATTTTCAGAGAGAGAAAAAGGATGTGAGAAAGAAAGAGTAAAATTAATTTTTATGGTTCAAAAAATCGAGAGGAACAAGGAAATACAAAATAATAATATTTATAGAAGAGAAGAGAGAGAAATGGTAAATGATTTGAGGAAGGGTAAAAAAGAGAGAGGGAGATAGAGAGAAATTTAAAATAAAAAATTTCATTGCCGGGAATCGAACCCGGGACTCCTGGGTGAAAGGCAGATATCCTAACCGCTGGACGACAACGGAAGATGTTAATAGCTGTCGTAAATAATATATAAACTTTTTGATTTTATTGTACTTAGTACCAAACTTAAAAATTGAATCTCAATTAATTTTTGAGTACACTGCAGAAATCACCTACAGTACAATGATTGTGACAATTTCATCCTCAAACTTTCAATTGTAAAAATTAAATCCTTAAATCTTTAGAGGTTGCAAAATTACACTATTAGACTTTCATGTGTAAAAATTAAACCCTTAAACTTTGACCAATTAAAAAAATCGACACTTGAATTTTTAAAATTTATAAATTAAAACCTTCCAACTTTTTGTAATTAAAAAAATTAAATCTATTTTTAATATTCTCTCCCCCATTTCCTCCTGTCTTTCTTCACACTGCCATGCCATGGGACCTGCGGGCCGGATTTCGAGTTGTTTCTGGAGTAGGACCCATTTTTCAACGAACTGTTCGATACTTCAACTCCTTCGTTTGATTATGGAGTTGAAAATTTTGACACATTAAGATTCATTCCTCTGGAATTTCTCAAGAACCTGACGATTTTAGTTTAAAAAATTTGCCCTTTTTTTCTCTCTCCAGCATCGATAAAAAGTAGTAGTATTCGAACTACTTCAATGAACCTGATAATTTATTTTAGCTTGGCCATGGATTCTTCCGTTGAAGAAACCCAAATTAGTCAAGAAAAAATTGTGTATAATTGTATCAGTATGCATTTAATTACCAATTGTTATCAGAATTTTAAAATTACACCTCTTTGTGGTGTCCCTGCCGCAAGTGCTGTTGGCGAAGATAGTTTCAGAAGGGGAAACAGAAATAGAGTAAGGTTTGGTTTTTCAAGAAAGCAGGAGAAAGTAGAAAAGGAGGACAAAACATAAAAGCGATTTAAAAATATATTCAATTTTTAAGTTACAAAAGTCGGAGGGTTTAATTTTTACCGTGAAAGTTTATGGGTATAATTTTTAAATTTGTAAAAGTTTAAGGGCTTAATTTTTATGATTCAAAATTTACGAGTGCAATTATAACAACAATCATATTTTAAGGGTGGTTTATACAATTTACCCTTAATTTTTTTAAAGTATTTAATAATATATTTGTAAGCTACTAATAATTAAACACTAACCTTTTTTTTTTTTTTACAACATATGGGACGAGGGATCAATCTCACAACCTCTTAGTTTAAAATATATATCAATTATCGCTGAGCGCTAGCTTTGACAATTACCAACTAATATTTAGTTCAATTTAAAATATTATTAATAATTCTAAATTTTACAATATTATATAAGTTAATATATTATATTTTGCATGGTTTAATTTTAATAAAAATAGTTAAAGCGGGCATAGTTCAATGATAATTGACATATGCCTCCAACCAAGAGGTTGCTAGTTCGATCCCCATCCCACATGTTGTACTAAATTTTTTTTTTAATAAAATAAATTAAGTTTGTATTAAAAATAATAATAAATTAAATCAAGCTTATAACATTAAATAGTATTTATCAAATTTTTTTAATTAATTACACATTTTTAAATTTCAAATTCAAAATAAAACACTTGAAACATAGAAGTGTATTTTTCCACTTTCCATTGTTTGAATCACAAAAAAAGTTTTTAGATAACAGTCTAACAGATTGCTAAGTAAATATGTTTTTAGAAAATTTTACTTTTTTTTGCCTCTCCTTATGATTCATATTTTTCGTCCTCCCAACAAACATAAACATTTTCTTATTTTCTTCCTTTTGCAACAAAAAATTAAATTAAATAGGTTAATAATTTACATTCCTATCTTCATATTAATAATAATAAGAGCTAACTGTCACTCAAAGTTTGAAATGCTTAATATTTGAAAGAATACCATAGTTTAAACACTAAAAAAATGAAAAAAAAAAGCATACGAAAAGATTAAATATGAAATAACGATTATCATGGGCATTATTGAAAATTACTTAAAAAATAAAATAAAATACTATATATGATGGATGTAAAATTTTTTAATAGGTCAATTTACACAATCATTTTATTTTAACTGCGTGGTTTATTTAGTAATAAAAAGAAACTCAATCACGAGTTCTCAAAATATATCATTTAATTGTTTAATTCAACCAAAATAAATTTATTTGATATTATATCGATAAAAAAAAAGGAAGTTTATTTGATCTTTATCACCACTTTTTTTTTCCTGTTAAACTATACTATAGTAACAAAGTGTTGAATAGCTATTTCTTAAAATTAGATTTATAATATTAATTTTGCTAGAATTTAATCCTTATAAAAAGAAAAAAGAAATTTAATTATATACAAACATACATGTTCTTTCCAATCTCCTCTCTCTTGTTTAAGTCATAATTCTAAAATAGTAATAAATTTTATCGATGATTTTTAGTTCGTAGAATTAATGTGTCAAAAAATTTCGAAGCTACATTTAATTCATAGGTTGAATCTATGGCTTAGAATAATAAATTGTAAATTATACTTAATAGATGAGTTATTGATGATTTTTAGTATATAGAATTGATATATCAAAACTTTTTGAAGTCACCTTTGATTCATTTGGTTGAATTTGTGTAGTCGAGAGTAATAGTAACTTATATTTGATGGATCAAAAAATTTTAATTTGTGGATTAAAAATATTACAAAATTAAGGTAGGTCTCAAACTAATTCTATAAATAAGATAGTTAGATTGGGTACATCTTAATATAATCGGACCGAACTTGCGTAGCGATTTACTATTTATTTTTTTTAACCGAAGAAAATTGTTATTTTTATATTATTGCTTTACCATAAGGTTTTTTCTTTATATATTCTTTATATTTTTTTACCAAAAAAATTATTATTTTTATATTATTTTAAAAAATAAGATAATTTTATTTCCTAATATATAAAATTTATTTTTTCTTCCTTTCTTTATATTTTTAAACTTTTTTTTTTTGGTATACATAAAAGATTAAAAAAGAAAATTTTTCTAGTAAAGCAGGATATTAAATTTCCACATGTCCATAATTTAGACATTAAAGGGTGAATTGAGATTTCTATATTATCGTAAAAAGAAAATAATAATAATAATAAAGAATAAAGAAAAATATTAGATCGCCCAATATTGAAACATAGATCATCTAAGATAAGGATGGAATGACGAAGGAGTACATCACTTCCCTAGTTTGTATTAATAGCACAACAAAATATCTTACTAAAAATAAAATAAACATTATGACTTTGTTTCAATATCTACCCCAATTATATTACTTTTTATTTAATTTACATTTTGTTGTTATTATTTTGAAACTTACATTATTTTTGTAATTTGTTTTTTAAATTACATTATTTTTAAAATTCTCCCTGAATTGTTTATGTTATGTTATACTTTTGATTTTGAGGGGGCAAATGTGATATAAATTTTGTAACAATTTTATCCTATTGAATTTTTTTTTGTTAAGCTTCAAAGAATAAATCGAATCGTTTTATTTACCCTTAATTCTGATAAAACTTTTCACGTTAGACGATTTAAATTACAAACTCAAATTCATGGATCAAATGGATGTGATGAAAATAGAGTTTTATCAAATTAAGATTTTTGAATAAACGATTTCGTTAACCGAATAACTAAGAGGGAGGAGATCGAACTCTCAATATGTTATAGTATTTGTTAGTTTTAATTGGGCAAATCACCCCGTCGGAAGATAGCTCTAATTGATCAAGGCATTATAACTTCGACAAAAAGTCTGTTCAACTAATAAAAAATATACATATATAAATTTGCTGCTTCAGTTAACCATAATCACACTACTAATAAATACCATACAAGGCTCAAAATGACCTATTATCACCTCACCAATCCTCTCTATTGACAAACTAGTAATGCTTTAAACATACATGTTTTCCAGAGTCAAAATTTCAGCTACACAAGTAGATTCTTCATCAAATCACATTAGCCGCCTTGAAAAGTTCCGAGTAGTCGCTCGGTAGGTACGTACGAGCAAGCCTACTCCTACACCGATTCCTAAACAGACACCAAGCCCTATACCAACACCGACTCTCACGCCTGCATTGAACCAGGAGAGTTCACCATCTTCATTGTCTAAATACTCTCGCCTCTTCCAGTACATGTTGTAGTAGTCGTCTTCGATGTCGTCCTGTTTGTATCTTATGTATTCTGTGGCCTACAGGGATTGGAATGGATATTTGAGGATTGGGAGTATATTAAGCCAACCAACCACATGATCAAATAATCTTAGTTGCAATACATCAGGAGCGATTGAAATGAAGAAGAAAGTTAAACTCAACACCTCAAAAGGATACAGGCAGAAAAGATTATGAACATTGAAAATGTAGGCAGTTAATGAAGATTAATCCGAAAGGTAATATCTCAATCACTGCAGTTAAATTTACTTTTTCGAGCACGAAAATGAAATAGCAGCAGCTACTACCAAGAAACAAGTAGGTGTATTTAAATTCTCAAGTTTTTTAGTGATTTGGATGGCATTATCAGGCATATGATCCTAATTAAGGTCATTTTGTATGTAGTTTATCTTGTATTGGACTAGGAATTTAAAACAGGTTTGGTAACATTACCATTGGTTTTCTTATTTCTATTTCCTCTTTTTTAATTATAATAAAGAAAAAATTGAATTGCACAGCCCAAAAATCCTAAAGAATAAAATAATGTTTTTATTTATGTTTTGAAATAAATTGGAAACGGGAATAAGAAATTAGAAATTTGTTTATCTTGTTTCCAAAATTTCTATACAATTTTAAGAATGTTTCTAAAAAAATGAGGAAACAGAGAACATAGATAGTTTTCAAATGTTTAGGTTTTTTAATAAAACTAAAAACGAGAACAAGAAACCAAACGTTACCAAACATGCTCTAAATAGTCTATGACATGTAAGTAATAAGAACAAAGCAAACTAATCACGAGGCGACTATTTGAACTTGCGATATTATGTGTAAATAACTCACAGGTATTAAAACCTCAAGTGGATGACCAGAGATCAGTGATGTACCTGTAAATCATGTTGTGGAAATTGATCTTCATTAGATTTGGGTGTCTCAGACTCTGGTATGGCGTCCAACATGGATTTCCAACCCTGCTTCTTTCTGGAGCTTAGCTGCAAAGTTCTGGTCAAGATGATAGGATTCCCCAAAAAGCTACCAGCAACATAAACCTCGATCTTCGGCATGGGGGTTTCAACTCCAATCATATGCTTTCCCTTCAAGAAGCCAGCACCCAACTTCGACTCACAGCTCATGTTCCACCTCTTCGCATTGCCTTTCGACTCCCCGGATAAACCGTTGCAATTCGACATCTCCAAAACACCAGAAAGAATCAAATCGTCCTTGTCATACACCTCAAATTTCACATTTCCACTCAACCTTATACTATCAGTAGTCACAAAAGTAGCTTCTTCTGATTTCTTATCAGCCCTATCTCTCCTCAGAGAGGAAGAGACTCCCTCTGAGTGACTGCTACTTCTAACACCATTCACTTCAAAAAGGGTGTCCGGGCTGAGAGGGATATGGTTTAGCATGAGGAACTCGGGCGTTGAGCTGTCCACTTGGAAATTACTGATTCTAACATAGAACACTCTCATATCGAGCCAGGATGACGAGTAAACTTTAACACGAGGCTGGTGCCGTGAGAATCTAGCAAGGCGAAGTTCATCATCGATTGCTTCAACTTTTGGTAGTGTTTCAACAGCACCCTCCATGGTTAAAGAATCTCAATCCCCACCCAAACTTATCAAAGTGGTGACGACACGAGAGAAATCATTCACGACTCTATCAAAAGCCAACCTGGACTGTTTTACAATTCAACCCCCAAAACATATATAGTAGAAATATCATCAAAACAAGACAAAAATTGATGAAAAGAAACGAAAATAGATAGTTTCAGAATCCCACACCATCAGAACTGTATGCACACATCCAAAACAGAGCAGACCAATGTTCGCAAGACAGGTAATAATGTTCATAAATAGTAAATTAATTTCCAAGAATAGAAACCCTTTAATTAAGGAGAAAATTTTGAGTCAAAATCAAAACTGAAAGAAGTTCCAATTCCAGCAAACTCAAACCAATAGGCAAACCCCAGCAGTTGAATGTGATCCAAATATCCAAACAAGAGAGAAGAAGCAGACTATGAAATCATACGGTAAGAACTCCTTCAGTAGCATGATTATAATCTGGAGATGTCAAAGCAACAAAAATACACCAAATTGAACGAGAGATTAACTAGGAAAACACAATGAAACACCTCCAGATTTGGAAACAGGAGAAGCCGTTAGCAGAGAGCGGATCCATCGAACCATGAACTTCCACCTCACAAATTCACAAATCCAAATAGTTCTAATGAAAAGGGCAAGACCCAGATCTCGTGTTGGCTAAATTTTAACAAATTGAACTCGTTACTCACCTGGTAAAACCTCTCAGATCAATATTTCTGCAATAATTGCCTTCTCCAAGAACCCGCCGGCCTCCAGCAAATCGAACATACCCACATCACACGAGACAGAATCAGCCGATAAACTTTTGATCTGAACCACAAACAAAAAGGGAAATCAAAGCCAATTCTCAGAGTTGGATAAATATTTAGAAAATAGACTCACACGGAAAATCCAACATTCAAAATCTCGATAAGGACTGAAATTTATCGCTATCCCTCTCCGCCAGAAGGTCTTGTACAGAGAGCGTTCTCAAATCGCTATCAAGCGATGCAATTAAAGCTTTTGATTCCGGGCGAAGAGCGAGTGGCCACTACCCTCCAATGGAAAATCAAAATTTCTCGCTGAGAAACAATTATTTGTCAATTTTCTCCACTTTTCCCGAAATTGAGTTGAGGCATTGAGATGGGTCTGCAGGAAAAAGAAAGTTGGAAAATCCGATTACGATCCAGAAGCTCGTGGGAAGCGTTTGGATCTCGTCTGGGAGTAAGAATGAAAACCACTCGTTTTCTCAAGAAAATTTGACAAAACAAATTAACCCCAGAAAGAAGTAAATCTCAAGAAAAGGAAAAGAAAAATGAGGGAGGACGATCTTATCCAATTGCAAGGAGTACGGATCGGCGCAAGCCATAGCGATTGACGCTGTTAAGAGTGGTGACCGTGACCGGAACTTGAGCGCGAGTAGTGGCGCTGCGTTGGCCGGGACCGTTGTTCATCATTCTGGGCCGAATGAATGGGCTTTGTGATCTTAGGGAAGCCCATGGACCGTATAGCATGGCCCACTATTCTGTAAGTTGTATGGCTACTTTAGTGCAAGTTTTTCTTTTAATTCTTGAATTATTATATACTTTTAATTGGTCCGACACAAAATTGAAAGCTATATAGTTAGTTCTAGAAAGTCCCATCCTTGTGTGGGTTTTGTCTCAAATTGGGAGTGGTTGTGCGCTGGTGTTTTTGTGTGGGTTTTGTCTCAAATTCGGAGTGGTTGTGCGCTGGTGTTCTGTGTGGTGTTTCCTGTCGAGCAGATCAATGGATGAAATTGTTGATAAGTGGAAAGGGCCGGTTCGGCCGGGTGTTGAGAGTGAGGCTGTACAGGTAGACTCCCATGGGATTTTTGAAAAACTGAAGGCATTTTCAAAATAAATTGAAAGAAACGAGTGAGTTTTGAAATGTTTGGTTTTTAGGGTGTTGCGTCTTTTTATATACAAATACGTCTCTTGAGAGACGCATTCAGCGCCCCGTTACAGACCTCCGGACGAACGGCGTAATGGACCCTGACGGCCGGACGGGACGGCGTAATTAAAATATACTTCATAAATACGAACATCAAAATTCATAAAAATAAATATATAGTTAAAATTGAAATTGCATGTCTTGAAATTTCATTGATTACAATAAAACAAACCTCAAAATTCTTAGAAAAAAATTAAGACTTAACCTAATTCCTATTCTTGGTCATTTGGATCATCATCAAGAATATTAGCTCCTTTTCGTTGTCGTCTTCTCCTACGATCTGGTATCACTCCTTCAAATTGCATCGATCGATATATTTCGGTAATATTAGATAAATGGATTCTACCGCTATCAGTCATATTGGGCATCACATTGTGGAAAAAAGATGAAAACAAGTTTAATACTGGTAAATAAGGTGGTATAAAAATTTAGTTATGATGTTAATTACCAAATAATTATATGATGCTCCTGCCCTAGTGAGAAATCTCATACTAATGCGATTGAACCAAGTATATAATTATGATCAACGTCTGCACCCTCATTTATAGGGAGACCATTAATAGTATTATTTTGGCGGTTTTCCCACTCCTGAATCTGGGGAGCCAAAGTTTGTTCTCAATTTTGTTCATGACGCCCGCGTAGGTCATATGTGTGCTGACGTATATCTGCTGACGTATGTGGGAATATATTGCACCCACCCAAATTGACGCATAACACGGTCGGGAAATTGCCACTCTACCGCATAAAAACATATGAGAGGACTACTAGTCGTCCATATATGCTGACCAATAAGGCAATACTTGGGTAAGCGCCCGAATAAGTGCCTATATGGCTCCCAAATAATCTGCATTAATTTTGTAAGATAAGCCCAAAAATAAATCCAACGTTAATAAACAATCATACATAAATAAAATTAATAATACTTGATCCGGCATGAGTTGATCCAACATGAATCGATATTGGATAAGTACGTGAGTCGGGGATTCAGTAACTCTAAAATCATCGTTCCATCTACATTTACGAGAAGTTGAATGTTAGTTTTTATTGAAGAAACATACATGTGAATTACTTGAACTAAAAAATAAAATTACGTACCATATTATCAATGGTCTATCTCCTAAGTTATTCTAGTGTATATGAAGTATGCATAGTGCTAGTAAAGGGAAGCGATCTCATGCCCAAATTTGTAGTAATATAACTGGTCCTGCTATATCTTGTGCATCTATAGCTACAGCTTTGCATAACTGTCTATAAAGTCAGGCAAGGCAACCCGCACACCATCTGTACTGTCCAGCTATACCAAAATCTACTAGTAGAGGTAGGTACATCAAGTGGACTCTACTATTCGACTTATCTGAAAATACAATACCTCCAATAAGGGTAAGAATGTATGCCCTAGCGTAACGTTGTAGAGCTACATCATCAACATCATCTGGTAGATGGGCAAAATCATCAAACTGGTTTGCCAACCATGGTAAGCTAAGATGACCACCAACTAAATCTCTTTCTCCTGATGTAACTCCTAGTAATTCAGTACACACATCCCGCCAAGTGTGCTGAAATGATCCAATAAGATCTTTCCCGTCTATAGGTAGTCCAAATTGGATGGCGACATCTTGTAATGTGATGGTACACTCTCCATACGGCAAGTGAAATGTGTGCGTCTCTTGTCGCCAGCGCTCCACCAAAGCTGTGATCAAATGTCAGTCTAACTGTATAAAATTTAAACGTGACACACTATAAAATCCTACTTGTCGTAGATATGGATCTATAGGAGGATCTGGACGTGTCACCCTACTAATAGTAGCCTCTTGACGTCTGTAATGTAAGGGGTCAGTGTATCCAGTTTATTAGACCAACTCAGATCGATGGCTAGCTTGAAGATGTAAAACAGATGAATCATATGGTCCTGTGCTATTATTATCCTCCATATTCTGATAGTCTAGTAGATTAATAAACCATATATTCATCAGTTTAGTACAAAATTTATTTGTTTGCACTATGAATTAAGTTAAAAATTAAAGTAAAATATTACATTCATCAATAATTCCAGTACGATTACATGAAAAATGCCACAATGTAAAGGTCAGTGTATCCAGTTTGTTTTTTCTTTATCAAGAGTTTGACTCTAATAATATAAGGAAATTACATTATTGGTTTCCTTTTCTTTATTTTGATGACATGTAGTATATATTTTAATTTAATCATATTCCTTTAACAAAAATTACAAAATTAATTTTTGCACTAATATATTATATCTACATAAGTATGACTAATACTAATTTGTCAAAAATAACATGATTATTTATTGTTCTCGTATAATTTTTTTAGTTTAACAATATGGGAGAATTCAAACTTTTGACTTTTTTGTCGACGATATATGTCTTAATTAGTTGAGCTATAATCAAACTAGTTTGTTTTTAGAGGTTAGCCGAACATATTCTTTTAGTATGTTATAGTTTTTTTTAAGTTGTGCTAAATACATTTTAAACAGAATATCGAACATGAAGGAAGAAAGGTATGAAAGAAAAGCATATTACCATCTTTCTAAAGCAACAAGTGAGAAAGTTGTTTTTTTGTTTTTTTAGGAGTACGGCGTTGGAACGTTTTAATATTGAGTTTGTAACAAGTGAGAAAAGCATATTAACGTTTCAAAAACAACAAGTGGGATGGAGATCCAAACTCACGATATTTTAGTCGAGGATATACTTTTTAATGCTACGGTTAGATTGGATTCATATATTTACATCTTTTTGCTATAAGTTTATCACCATAAATCAATTAATAAGGTGATGTATAATAGATTTTGAAAAGTGATAAAAACAACAAAGTTATACTTTCTCTAAAAAAAAAAAAAGTTATAAAGTAAACCATCATCCTTCTGTTTTCAATATCATATATATATATACCATTTTAAATACTATTTTAATTTAGTCCCTAAATATTTTTTTTACTATTTTGGTATTAGCAGTTTCAATTTTTGTTCGTTTTAATCTTTATATTTTCGAAATGTTTGAGAGATATTTTGAAACTAAAGTATAATATAATATCTTTTACAAATTTCCGAAACTTCTAAAATCTTTAAAACCAAACATAATATTTCAAATATATATAATATCTTTAAAAAAAATATATGTAAAATTTTTTTTGTAACCGTATGCACTTATTTTTTTGTCCTTTAACACATACATGCTCCAAAGTAAAAATATATTTTTTTTAGTTTTCAATATTTTGCTTAAATTTTATAAATGTTTTTAAAAAGTAAATAAACTCATAAACTCATAAAAAAACATGTGGCAGGTTTTACTATATATATTTTTTAATTTTCACTCATTTTTTCCCTTTTCATTTATCAAAGCTCACAAACCAAAAAAGAAAAAAAAAACAATTTCATAATCCACGTTAGTTCTAAAAAAACAATGAAATACACATGCACTTTTGAACTTCAATTACTAGAACAAAAATATGCAAAAACATGCCTCAAATAAAATTCATGTTAAAAAATATTTCCATATCTCAACAATCATATGTAATATTTTAAATATATATAATAAAATAATTAAAGATACCTGTGTTGTAGACAAAATCTCACTCCAAGCTTGCTATTTCTATTAAATTTGAACGGTTCTTACAACAAAAGAAAATTAATAATAAAACTAAAAATTAAAAAAATAAACAATAAAATAATTAACAATTACCTTAGAAGAATGATGGTGAAGATAAAATGAAAGGGAAGAAAGGAAGGAAACAAAAAATGGAAGGGAAGAAGGGAAGGAAACAAAAATAGGATTAAAATGAGAGTGATGGTGAAGATAAAATGAGAGGAAGAATGGGAGAGTGAGAGGAAGAATGGAAAAATGAAGAGGGAGTAAAAAATGAGATATTTAATAAATGAAATTTGAAGGGAAATAAAAAAATAATAATAAAATAAAAAAAGGAATACTGGAATCGTGGCTCTTCACCGGAACTACCGAAAATGGATTCCCTACCATGCAGGGAATCCTTGTGTTTCCAATACGTATGCGTCTCTTTAGTAACTCCGTCAAGACTTAACTGATGGAGTATGTTCCGTCAGTTAAGTTCCTGTGGTGCACTGAATGCGTCTCTTAGAGACGCATTTCGAATGCATCTTTCAAACAGACGCAACACCCCAAATACTTCAAAACTCACCCATTTTTTTCAATTTACTTTGAAAATGCCTTCAGTTTTTCAAAAGTCCCCTCCGATCATCTTTTGCTACCTGAGAACCGGGTGGAGTTATGCACTGTCGGTAAGGTGCTGTTAACTAAGAGAATCAGTTCTGAAGCCTTCCGTTCGGTGATGAAAACTGTATGGCATGTGCATTAGGGAACCCAAATTGATCCTGCTAGGGACAATATTTTCATTATCTACTTTCAATCCCGTGCGGATAAACTCTGGGTGCTGAATTCTGGTCTATGGTCTTTTGATAACAAAATT